TGCAGCTTTAAATCCTTGTGTAGTGTTGATCCGCGTACATACCAGGGACAGTTAGCCACAAATATTATTAACACAAATATTTAATATTTATATAAAACACACCTTGTCCTCTGTCCTAAAAGTATGCTACAATATAATTAGATAATTTTTTATAACTTTTAGATAGACAAAATACAATAAAATAATATGTAATAATAATATAAGGTTTGACGATGACTGCGCTATAGAGTCGAAGACAGAAGCCGCAATAAATAAATTAAAAAAAAAAAAAAATTTACAATTTTGTAAAAAACTAAATATAATAGCAAAACCTATTTACGATTACGATATCTCCCGGAAGCAGGAGCAAAGTAAAGCCTTTTCAGACAATGCAGTTAACCAGGAAATTTGGTATTATTTAATATCTTATCTTATACATAGTCATAGTTGTGTAAGCCTTTAGATCAGTCCTCCAGTCATTTCACATCATTCACATATAAAAATGCTCGCCTCTCTTTAGATCAGATCCAGTTTTAAGAAGTTAAATATATTAGCTTTTTGACATGTTCACAATATCTCTGAGTACGACCTCTTTTAAAATATGTTAGTTGACATAAACAGTTCATATCACATATTTGTAGCTAATTTATTGCCAAAAATAAATTTGGATTCTATTTTTGCTGCGATTACCAAGCAATTTGTGCAGCAAGAGCAAGTGGAGAAGTTTATCAGTTGAATTCACTTTTAATCCATATGTAAGGCCACCCATAAATTACGTCGATCAGCACTAAGCAGCGATTCAGAGCTGTCACTTAACATATTTTTGTTGATGTTAAAAGTGAGAGTGAGCGATTTTCTTGTCAATCACCCGATAACAACCAGAAAACGATATTGGGATTCTCTTTAAGTAGCCGACGAAGTTTGATTGTTTAACTGATTGTCAGTAAAAGCTGCCTGAGCTCAAGGCCAACTAATATTTACTATGTTAGCTGACTTTTAAGAGATCTTTGATCATACTGCATTTCATTAGATAAGCCTTTGAACTTTCATTTAGACAGCACAACGGATTTCCAACTGCATTGAAAAAGGCTAATTTATATTTGATGGGAAGTTTTCTTGGGAATCCTAAAACGAGAGAATAGTCTACTTTACGATAGTTTATAACGACAAGCAATAATTAATAAAACACAATAAAAAAAAATAAATTAATAAAACTTTCCTTCAGCATCAAATGATTTGCTATTGACTTTTTATGTCGATATTTACAAGTACGAATATTTGATTTTCCTGGTTGTTTTGTGTGTACGTTTCACGGCTTTTGGGAAGTTCCATCACGTCAAGCCGTTGAGGCTAAGGTTGGCATTTGAAGCAACTGGCACCTTGCAATTAGGTGGGAGTTCCGCTCACTAACCGACTTTAAGTAAATTTAAGAAAATTTTGAAAAAAAATCTAAAAAGGGGGAAAAAAAGCTGAAAAGGGGAATAATGAAAAACGAAAAGAAAACCAACTTGAGCGAATTGTAGCATGAGGCACGCCCCTGTATGGCAATTTGGTGCGCTTCGCTGCGCGTGAAAATTATGATTTTTGCTTTTGGGAAAATCTCATTAAGTTAAAGGCTGAAAAAGGATGCCGACGGGCGATGCCTGATACAGGCGCGGACTATTGCCTATGCCATAAATACGGGTTATGCAAGTAATTTGCATGCAGCTGGGCGGACGAAGTCGGCGGCATTTGACTCAAATTGAAAAGCACATTGCCCGCCCGCGATACTTGCAGTAAGAATGGAAACAGCAACAACAAAAACAACAGCAACAGCAACTGCGACAGCAGCAGCAGTAGTACAAGGAGTAACCGCAATAGCAACACGAGCAAAATTAGAAAAAGAAACAACAATCCTGGCGGACCAAAAGTATTTAAACGTATGCTACGTAGTGTTTTAATTAAGCTCACATTTTTATAGGCATTTCTTAATGGTGCAACATAAATTTTGCGGTCTACCTAGAATTGGCATCGCACAGGGATCAAACCACTGGACGGGGACTCTTCTCCAAAGGGTAACTGGAGCTCGGAGCATAGCTTATAAAACGCACGGCAGGCGGCAGAGGCGGCGTCTCTGCTCATAAATGGAAAGTGAATTTAATGCCATGTATTAAACAAAGTTGTGAAACTGAAACGTTTTGTATTCAAGTTAAAGGAGGCGGCACACACATTCAACAGACGCTAAGGCAGCCACAGCCTCAGTCTCAGTCGCTGTCAGCGTCGCCGTTGCCGTTGCCGTTGTCGTTGCCGCCGCAGTTGCGTGATAACTTCATTGCGGCTCGCCACTTGCTGTCTCTCTCTAAAGTTCTGCCGATTGTTGCATGAGGCAACTTTGTATAGCCGCCTTATCGATGCAGCGACTGATAAATGTGTGACACAGTGTGTGGCTTATTTGAGTTACAGTACGTCCTCGTTCGCACCGTCGCACCATCGCACCGTCGCACCGTCGCACCGTCGCACCGCCACCTGCTCCACAGCTCATGAACACACTCAGCGTGTCATTCACCCGGCAAACAGGCAATTGCAATTGAGCAGTAGTTGCACTCAGTGTGAGTGACTATGATGTGAGTGTGAGTAGTGTATCTTTATCTGTTAAATACGTTTTATGGCCAGCCATTTGTGTGGCAACCGTTTAAGCTCTGCTTGTCCACACAACCACACACACAAAGATATATATATATATATTTATATATACATCTTTTGTATATTTGTGTTCGGAAAAAAAATCAAGCGTTTTGTTTGAACAAGCAGTAAATGCTTCAGTTTCTCATAGGCTAAGCATTATGAATGAGAGATAAACAAAGAGGCGCAAAGTTATGAAACGTTGCAAAAAATATTGCGAATTATGGCTGCTTTGCGAAATAGTCAAAATACTTAGTCCTAAAGTCTGAGACTGGGACGAGGAATGAATGTAAAGACATTTAGAGTATGTGAATTATGGATGGGCTTTGATATGAAGAAACGAAGTTTTAAAATTTAACAAATTAGATGAGACTAAATGTTGATTTATTGTAACTTATATAAAGTCTTTGATCAATGGATCCTATCGACAATTCTGTTTCTTACTCACTCTTTGTCATATTGAAATAATTATTGCAGTGCAGTGCTCAAGCCCATCTCTTGCACTTCCATTTGGTAATTAGCTCAGAAGAGTAAGATAATTGCATTTTTATTTATGTAATCTGCACTTAAGTATTATAATATATATTGACGTTGGGGCGCAAACACTCGAGAGATATTTACTTCGAGTGTTTTTGGCCATTGTGCAACAATTCAGTTCAAAGTTGAGCTGTGGAATATGTCGCATACCTCATCTGGTAAAGGCGCTGCGGATTTGTTTCCATTATTTGCATATGCAACATCGAAATGCACTCACCAAGGCTCCAAAATGAGGTGACTTTTAAGTGGCCGGCGGCCGACTATTGACTGAGCATTACATACATACATCCATATATATGTATGTATTATATATGTAGCTGCCCCTTTCGGATATACCCAAAAACTCTCGCCAAGTGCTCCATTTCTCAGACAAAGCACTTTGGTGCAAAGCTTATTAACGAAATTGTATTTATGTTGTTTTTGTTTTTGGTATTTTTGTTTTTTAATTCTTGCCTCTTGCGCCGTTCTTTATTATCGAGTTTAATGGATTTTTAATGAGTCTTAATCGCAGTTATTGACGGCATTTTAAAAATGTGCAGTTTCATTATCCCTTAATCCTGTTTAAAGAAGCTCTGCAGCGTTTTGTCATCGGTCTAAAATCGAGTTCCCTACACAATCTCGCCTTCGCCTTCCTCTCTGTCCCTCTCGTTTGCTCCCTATGTCCCAGGCTCCTAGGTTGACGATCACATGACGTCACTTCCAATACATGTATACCTTGAATTTGTTTGCTCAGAATCACAGCATTTGATGCAATCAATTTGTCAGCTCGTCATAGAAGGAGTTCACCACTAACATGGCATACATGAGTATACCTACGAAACGATAATGCATCAATTTAGGTACGTTTATCGAGAGTCAAATGGAAAGTGAGAACAAGAATCAATATCGATTGATTACAAAAATGACTTTCGATTGTACAATCGACAAAGAATAGTTGCTGGAAAATAACTAATATTTCTAATTGAATCCATACCAAATGTTCATATATCTATAAATTCTATAAATTATCGATAACCGCAAAGTGAATCGATGCTATCGCTTGTTATCGGTCGCAGTGCTTACCAATTCTTAAAACCGCAATGGCACTCAGCAGAGCCGTAGCTATAGTACAAATTAGAACAATAAAATTTACTATAAGCCAGGGTCCCAAGCAAGAAGTGTTTTTCTGTGGTAAATGTCTTTAGTAAGAAGATTGCTGCGATTTGTCCAACTCACTGTCATTGCTCCAGTAATCAGCAATAGATCGCTGAAGGCCATTAGGTAGAAGATTACTGAGAACCAGAACACACAGTACCGTGCGTCCATCTTATCAAAAAATTTAACAAATACTTGTGGCATCTTATCACGGGTAACATAATAGACGCCAAGAGATCCTAGATAAAAGTCCATAAGCCCAAAAATGCAGCCGAATAGCATTGTCCCGAATTGCAACGATACGCAGCAGCAACATTTCATCAGCCGCATATTGATTGCACCAACTTCTCTATTTCCGTAACGATATCCCTCGAATTGAACTGAGCGAACTGAGCGCTGTATTAGTATAACGAAAACTGAACTGAGCTTTCGTTGCCTACGGATCGAATTTTGATAGCAGCACTAAAAACCTATCTAGACTTCGGAATTCTTCCTTTGGATTTCCTATTCTATGTATAATAAATGCCTATGCAAATTTCAGGTAGTTTTCGAAATCCCAATTGACAGATATTTCGAAGGAAAAACTTTATTACCATGCCTGAAGTATCCTTTCTTCTCTTGCCTGATACACTGAGCCTATACATTTTAATATATGTAACGGACAGATAAATATACTTATACAATTATTAGTCAGCTCAGCCGATCAACCATTGTTATAATTGTTCATTAAATCTAATAGGAGAGCTTGTTTACAACAGCAGGAAGGTAATAATTTGCTTCACTCTACCCCGACTATTTCTGAGTTTACGGCTTTTCGGATTCGGAAGAATCAATCAATTCATTTTATGGCGCAAAGTTCAAAATATGGCATGCTTTATGGGTTATCAATATGATTTGGCCAACTGTATTGCGTGAAAAGGCGACAAATCACCTTTCAAGAGAAATTAATAATTCGTTTTGTGTGTCAGTAAAGACTTTTCGTTTATCAGCTCGAGGCAATCGTCTCGAGGGCTTGCGACCAACCTCAGAAGTGCTTTTCTTAAGTGCCAGCGGGCGGCTCGAATCCGCCCTGTGACAGTTGAGGACATCAAAGTATATTCTTTGATCGATTATGGTCCCAATTATGCCTCGTCAAGACAGTGGAATGGATCCAAAGTCCGAATCTGCTTGGTGTCTTGCATAAGAATTCTTGGTCAGCCTCGCTGTCGTTGACGGTGCAATTTTTTGAGTGAGCCCTGGACAAGGTCGTTGGCACTATGGTATGTTGTTATGTCGGTTCTATAGTATTCTATTTGATAACAATTTTGGCACTGCAAATTGAGCGCGTGAGTGGCGGTTAGTGTTTTTGAGTGCTTTTACAAGCCGCAAGAATTTCTGTTGATTCTTTTCTTTTTTTTTTTTTTTTTTTTTTTTTTTTTTTTTTTTTTTTTTTTGGTGTGGTACCTGTGCTCTACAAGCAGCCGCTTCATTTATCGGCAATGGAATTTTAATTGAGTTAGCATGTCGTGTAAGTGTCAGCAGCGGCGTCTGGGCGCGCAGTTGTGATTCAGATATTAACACAATTCTCCAGCACACATGGTACAGTAAGGGCCGCACTGAACTGGTTCATAGTTCATTTCACCATCTCATATAGATTACTATGGATTTTTAGTAACTTTTTTGCGCTTAAGTTTATCATTTTGTGATAATTACTAATTAACAAAAATAAATTAGATTTAGTACAGTTGATTCCGCTAGTTCGTGTTCGCTTTTCTACTCATAGCTTTAGAATTATATGGTTGCCGCTGTCTTAAAGACCCCAGGCGGTTTAACATCTTAGTTCTACTAGATAAAAGTTAATGAAATACTGATATTCAAAATTGGTATTTGTAACTGTAAAATTCAATTGAACAAGTATCTGTTCGAGTATTTAATCTAAATGATATCTTCAGTTGACAACCCATAAATCATTAGATATGCTCTTACCCGATTTACACATGAACTAGTTCAACAACATATTAGTCGTTCAACTTTTAATCTTCTAGACTGTTGCTTTTGCCAACACGAAATATAGATCAATTTCCTGAGCGTAGCACATCATTTATTTGGCAAATCCCTTGTTTTGAATAGGTTCCACTCATGAATCTTCGTCAGCTTTAGTTTGAAATAAAGTAGTCCACTTGTTTAGCTTTCGGAGCGGGTAAGTGATTCACTTTGGATCACAGGAAATGATAGATGTACAAACATTGAAACGTGGGCAACACACTTGCTGGTTCCTTGTCTCATTTATCTTCGTCAAGAATTTGGATACGTCGTAAGCCCTATGCAGATCCAGAAACAACATGTCCAAGCTTGGCTACCCACTGACCGAAGCCGCAATACGCTACTGATAAAGTTTGGACAGTCGAAAATGAAGTAGGAGCCGATCGGGCATAGTTAAGCGGGCGTTTTGGCTTCAGGCTATTTGCAAAAAAAACCTAAGTCTAATGAATAGGTTTTTAAGACCAGCCCGAAATAGAATCGATGCGCTCAGTATGCTAAAATAGATATGGTCAAAGTTTGGATCCTCTGGTGCCTGGCGGTATCTATGGACATTTTTAGCTGTATCCGCTAAGCGCCCATCAGACCTGGCAGGCATGCGTTTTGACAAGCCGCTGACAGGAAATTAACAGTTTCAATTACACGTAACTAAGCGAGATTATTGGAAACGCTGCCGCTGCCTTTGGTGCTGGGGCTGGCGCTAACGTGTGGCAGAGCTTAAAGCATTTTGTGGACTTTCATTTTTATTTTCTTTTTATTGTTTATTAAATTTTGTTCTACTCTGAACTCGCGCGCTTTTTATCGCCAAACATAAATATTGCTAGGTTTAGTAATCCACGATAAAATAAATTATTTGACAAGCGCGTTAATTGATTCTCGTGCGATTCGCTTCTGCCTCCAATCAGTAGCAGTAGTAGCATGTTCCGATGGACGAAAGACAAATACACTAAAAATTTTGATCATTTGAGGGTTTGGAAGAACTTAATTAAGACTCAACTGAGTCAAGTTCTGAACATATGGACACCATATTTAAGCCTTTAAAAAATTTCTAAAATCTTCGATAACTAAACTTTAGGAAACTAGTTTTAAGCAACGTTTTTAATGATTATATTTATATTCAGTATAAGTTAATTGATATGCTTATTTCAAGGGTATTACAAAAGGTGCTTCACATGCAAATTCTTCACATATTTTCGGCCTGACGGGGACGCTTTGTCCGATAATTTAAGTCACGGTTATCTTGATGATAATTGATAAACAATATAGTAAACATCAAGTAAACCAATGTATAGTAATATATATATGTACATATTGACAGACACGCATTTATGTGGGATTCACAGTATGTAAATTGTTATCCGAAACTTGTTGATCGTGCAAATAGACTAAAAATCCAGCTATATAGTCAGCTGATCTCCGTATGGCATATCTATATATGAGGTATATACCCTTGAATTTCATATATCATATCAGCGGTCTATTATTTCTACACAATCACATAACTAGAACAGTAGGGTGTTTATGGAAGTCGAATTTCGAGTACTCTTCTAGGCATTTCATAGTCTGGACAGCTATGTGATAAAAATAATATTGTGGTACACGGAAGTAAAAATGGAGTATTAAATATATTGTGATAAAACCACACTTCGTAAAAAAGTTAGTGTTCCAGCTGCTTCTATAAGGACTGTAACATCCATATATTATATACATATTTATTCGTTATATCAATTATCTTCAGTTAGAAGATGAATCGATGCATAGTTGGCTGATTAAGACTGCAGCGACATAAATGATGAATATGAACTTCGCATTCTAGGCTTGCCCTGATTGTGTTAATACCCCCCTTCAGGGTATACAAAATATACTTCGCAATAGAATTTGTGGGTCTTTATGGTATTTAAGCGGATGTTACCACACATTGGGTCGATTCAACGGGCCACGAGCCACACAAGAAGATAACATAAAATGCGTTTTGCAATGTGTCTAGATGTGTATGTATGTGTGGGTGTGACTGTGAGTGGGCCCTTCTATACAGGTAAGACATATTCTCTGTTTGTTGTAGACTAGTTAGACATTGCCGCCGGCATTCGTGTTGCATGTCACGGGAAATAAACAATATGTAATTATGCACTCGCATTGCTGCCAGCTCAAGTGATCACCCATGGGCAAGGTGATTTTTATAACGGGACGCCTCCCCCGCTCTCCCGTTCGGCTGTACTTTATGGATGCATATATCTTCATGACTCGACTGCACCAGAAACAATCATCATAAACAGCCGGTTCTGACTTGTCAACAAAAAATATGCCGCTTGCCAGACGCAGCGGTGCGATTGGACGGGCGGGGGCGTCTGTAGCGGCTCTGGCGGCCTCCTCCGTGTCTACTTCCCGCATGCACTGAACGGAAGTTTGAGTTTTGATAAATGCCCAGCCGCGAAACAAAAGGGAGAGTGCACCACAGCCAATAGCCAACAGTCAACGGCCAACAATCAAAAGCTTCTTCCTGTGTCTCGTCTTAAGTGGGTCAACTGCAGCTGACATAACTCGGTTGCGTTTTGTGGATCCGATCTGAGCGGCGTCTCTGTGGGTGTGTCGCATGCAGCTTTAAAGTCAAGAATAAAGTCAACTTCAAGAACTATTTACAATTCGTGTTTAAGCGAATTCGACAATATGAATATCATAATATTATCTCTAATAACAGATTATTAAACTAAGTTTAAACAATATACATATGTACAGTCTCCATACATTTTAAAATATCAAATATTTTTATAATACATATTCACATTAAAATGTAATTTAAAAAAAAAACAAGTAAGAAAGCTCTAGTCGAGACTGCTCGACTACGAGATCCCCTGAACCCTACAAGCAACTGATATTTCAAAAATAATTAGCAAACACACACGCACACACA